GATATCACGAATCAAAATTTGCTTCATTAAGGTGACAAATTAAAATTTATAAACTTCTTTTCCTTCAAGCTTTCCACAGTCTCCTTGAGGCTCACTTCCAAAGGAATAAATTCAATCCCCAAGCTCTTTGTTTTTTCCTTGGAAACCTTATATATTGGCACATATGACTTATTATCTGCACACCTGGTAATTTGTTGACACGGTGAAATGATATTAGGAAATTAAAAACTTGAATTATTTGTAATTATACAAATGAAAAACAAAATTAGACAGAATGAAGAGTCAATCGGACCTCAACCTGATGAGTTTTTCATATAAAAGAATATTTGAAAGACCTTCACATCCGTTTCAAGCTCAAACGGATATGTGACATCCTGTTATCTTCTTCCTCCTCCTCTGCACACACGCACACACAGAGAAATCACAGAGCACACAGAATTCACAGAGCAAACAGAGAAAACCCAAACCAGCAGCATCAACCACACAACAATGACAGTATATTACATTTACAAAAAAAAATTATAATCTATCATGCAAATGAAACGAAGAACAAACTAATCTCTCGTAGACCCAAGTCGTGAAGCACCATTGACCATCGCACACACTGCCGCACCGTTGCATCGTCGCATCGTCGCACCGCTGCGCTGTCAAATGACCACCACAAACACCCGCACTACAAAACCCAAACGGAGATGGAGACACGAAACAAACGAACGGATATGGAAGAGAAATAACGGATATGAGAGTCGGAGGGTGAGAACAGATATGAGAGTTGGAGGGGGTGAGAATCTGGAAAGAAAGAAAAGAGAAAGTGAGACTTGAGGGGGTGGGGCTGTGTAGTGAAAGTGAAAATGGATGAGAGAATATGAATAGAAATTTAGGATTTCAGAAGAGTAAAAAAGAATAAATAAATAGGGTTAAAAAGTAAAAAAGACTAATTTTGCAATTAAAAAAAATTTATACAGAGTTGGAGAGGTGGGGGGAGCAAAGGTGGTGGTGGAGGGAGCAACACCCATTTCTAATTAGTTAAGAAAAATTCTTAACCAACTTTGAAAGCCGGTCCTTAGCCAACTTTACGTTAAAAAAGTTATTTAATCGATTTTTAAAAATCTGTTAAAAATTTATTTAATCAATTTTTTAAATCTAATTAATAATTCGTAAGCTTTTAAAAACAAGTTAAGGTTTTAATGATTTTTGAAATCCATAAAATTCTTTCAAAGTCTATTGAATCTTAATGAAAAAGGCCAAAGTTAGAGTTTTGGAGGTGTAAAAAGAAAATGGAGAGGTGCATAGAGAGAAACACCCATGTATAATCTTCAAATGTACAATTCATCTTTGAGGTAGAAAGAGACAAATGATAACGGCACAATATGATTAAAAAGGTCAAACAACACAACAAATTTTATTTCTAATTAAGATGATTAATTATTATTTATTTGTATGAATCAAATATTAAAATAGGATTTCTATCTAACGAATACTTTTTAAAAGAAATAACTTTATGATAATATACATTTTATTTTTTTTATCATGTATTAAACTGTTTATCATTATAATTAATTTTTCTTTTTCAACCTAAACTATTTCCTACCAATGCGAAGTTTTCGTAAATGTAATTTATTTCTAATATTTTCCAATAAACTCTAATCCTTTATTTGAAAGGCGCGTGTAAGAAGTGAAGTTTTGCAACGAAGAGCGAAAAAGGAACACATAATTCTCACACGTGAGTGACACCACACACCGACGTCTGTCGAGCTCCACTCACGAAGTCAATACAAGTCAATTATGTTTTTTTTTCTTTTAACAACTAATTACTAATTTATTTATGAAGTTAAATGAAAAAAATAAATTTCATATTTATATTTTACTACATACGAAATATTTATTTAATTTTTATATTATTATATAAATATTTATAAAAAAAATAATATAATTCAATGGATTTAAAAATAATTCAAATTGCAAGAATGTTTAAATTTATCTTTTGAATTAAGAAAACAGTAAAAACGATGTTCAAATAATTTTCAATTGTGTAAAGGATCATTATATGAAAATACTTCAAGTATCTCATTTTATACATTAAAATATTAATTATTTTTAATACCTTACCAACTATAATTGAATTAATTTACATTTCATTAAATTTCAATAGAAAAAAAAAAGATCCTGTGTCTCATTCAATTGCGTATTTTTTCCATATCCCAATGCATTATTTTGATTCTTTCTTATTTTTAGTGAATTTCTAAAATATATTTATGACTTAATCAGACGACTTGACCTGCAACTTTCTTGTACATGAATGAAAATAATAAAAAATAGAAAAAAGTATAATTAATTGTAATAATTGAATAAAACAGGATGTCAATCTTCAAAAGAATTTGGTCATTAACATAATAATTATTGAAAAGATAGCACTATCGAGTTTATTCTTAAATAGTAAAAGGTAAGTTTCAAGAGACTACAGTAGTAATATAGACAATTTTATTTGAGTAAAATATATTCATCTCATTTAATTGATTTTTTTTTGACATAATTTAGTTTAATTCTTAAAAATAAATAAATAAATTTATTCTTCGAAATAAAAAGAGGTAGTGCTTTTGATAATGGGCCACTGCCATCATAATCATCACGGTGAGGGGTTGGCCACTAAGAATTAAGTAGCATGTATCTCTAATCTTTTCTTCGCCACTCACTCTCTCGGCGCGTTTCACGCCAACATAGATCCTCCGCTTCGCAACTTACAGCACACGCCATGGAACCCAGCAAGCACCACAACAACACCAAGAACGCCAACTGCTTCCTCCCACTCATCCTCTTATCCACCTTCCTCCTTATCCTTTCCCTTCTCGCTTCCTCCACCTCCTCCTCCCAACGCCGCCACCACCGCGTCCAAGTCACGCCGGAAAAGCCACATTTAGTGGAGTCGAAGCTCAGGGTGAGTCCCACATCGACGAGCGCGGTGCCACGAATCGCATACCTGATATCGGGGTCGGCGGGCGACGGGGAGAGTTTGAAGAGGACGCTGAAGGCTCTGTACCATCCATGGAACCACTACGCGGTGCACTTGGACCTCGAGGCCTCGGCAAGGGAGAGGTTGGAGCTCGCGAATTTCGTGACCAACGAGCCTCTCTTTGTGAAATTCGGAAATGTGAGAACGGTGGTTAAGGCCAACTTGGTTACCTACAGAGGGCCCACTATGGTCGCTAATACTCTTCACGCCGCCGCCGTTTTGTTGAACCAAGCTCGGGATTGGGATTGGTTCATTAATTTGAGCGCTTCCGATTATCCTTTGGTAACCCAAGATGGTAGGAACCTTCTCCCTCTCTCACCAGCACACTGACACTACTTTCTAACTTACCAAGTATGCTTGTTTTCTGGTTAGACCAACTTCTTCTTTTTTTCCTAAACATTTCTTTTACGAAAAAAATAAGAAAAATAGAAGCTGCTTATCTAGAAGTGAAAATTATTGTGTAAAAGTTGACCGGGATTTAAAAAAATAATTAAATAACTAGTTTTAATTTCATTCAAGTTTGTTTTCTTATTCTTACGAAGAAATTTGTTATAAAAAAATTACCTTCTTCAGTAATGATGTTTCTGTTAATATGCTTCTTTTGGGGTCTTTAGACATTCTTCTCTTTTATCTGTCTTTTTCCTTGCTAATTTTGCTCCCTCTTAAATATAGATTTTTTGTTTGTAAAGGGAATTAAGAATTAGTCTAACTAGGACCAAATCTGTGTTTTAGATGTATTTTCATATCTTGTTTGTTTTCTTGACCAATAATTACTTTTGTCGGCAAACTCTATCTTTCTTTGATACATACCCAAAAAAAAAACACACACACACACACACATATATATATATATATATATATATATATATATATATATATAAAAGTAGATGAGTTATAAGATAGTAATATTATAAAGTGGTCATTCAATTATAAATTAAATGCAATGTAATTATATTAACTTTTACAATAATTATCTTTAAACTGTATCTGTAGTTTTCTATGTCGAATAATAACTTAAGATTACGTGGTCGTGTATAACTTTAAACTTCTTATATTGTATTTATCTGTTCCTTAAATAAAAAACTTGCATTTAATTGTTTTATTGTTTCAAGTAATTAGAAATAATTCTTGAGATATCTTTAAAATAGTTATTATAAAAATTAATAAAGTATATTCGCGATTGAATGTTACATAGTACTAAGTAGTAATATTCTTCAAGAAATTTACATTAAGGAAGAATTTAATGATTTACTGATTAATTTTGCTAGTTGTTTGAAGTTAAAATATAGTAGAGACAGAGAACCATGGACTATGTTGCCCAGTTTTCATTGTCATTGACCAACTTTTGCAATTTGCTATATTTCTTTTACACAACAGATTTGCTGCATACGCTGTCGTCTATTCCCAGGCACCTGAACTTCATTGAGCACACCAGTGATATTGGTTGGAAGGAGTAAGTTACTAATTATCTTCGTCATTCTGTTCGTTACATGATTTATGAATGTTAAGTGACATAAAATATGTAAAGATCAATGTATCCGTTCTTTACCAGGGCTACTTTACTCGTTTAAATAGGTACCATAGAGCCAAGCCAGTCATACTTGATCCAGGTCTTTATAGTTTGCAGAAATCTGATGTATTTTGGGCGTCGGAGAAAAGAAATGTGCCCACGGCTTATAAACTCTTTACAGGTGACAAACTCTTACCCATTATTTTTCACGAATCACTGTTTTATTTTCCGCACACCCGGTCAAATTTTTAGCTGTTTCAAATTCGAGTTTGTGAGTGCTAAAAACTACTTCTAATCCCTGCATAGATTAAAGACAATTACAAATACTAAGAGCAGTTAAGGAAATTCTTGAACCTAGCCCGACACTAATAATGTATAGTGTGAAAGATAAGATATTGATATTCGATAGTACTGTGTAAGTGTGAATTTCGATACCTTTTCTACATATGCTCCCATTCTTTTGCTTATTTTTGTCCCAACTTTCCAATGCTGGTTGGCAAGCATCATTTCTGAGCTTCCAATCCTTATATCCTTTAATTCATAATTAGGCATAATTACAAATGCTCAAAGTCGTGCCGCTTCACAGTTTCTCTTTTTTTTCTAAATATGAAGACATGTACGACTAATTTGGTACATGAGATCACAGTTTACTGGAATCTGAGATAACTGTCCATAACAAAAAAGAGACTTAAAATTAAACAAAGTAACTAGAAATTGGTTGTCTCAATTTCATGTCATGGGAGTTGTTAAAATTTGATTCTTGATTTTGCTCAGGTTCTGCCTGGATGATGCTCTCTCGCCCATTTACTGAATACTGTATATGGGGTTGGGATAACTTACCCAGAATAGTCTTGATGTACTATGCCAACTTTCTGTCTTCCCCAGAAGGGTATTTTCACACAGTCATCTGCAATGCAGAGGAGTTTCGAAACACTACTGTTAATCATGACCTCCACTTCATATCATGGGACAACCCTCCAAAACAACATCCCCATTTTCTTACAGATAATGATTACCAGAGAATGGTGGATAGCAATGCTCCTTTTGCTAGGAAATTTGGCAGGAACGAACCAGTCTTGGATAAGATTGATAAGGAACTCTTGGGAAGAAATGCAGATGGTTACGTGCCCGGTAAGTGGTTCACTCAAACGAATTCAAGCACCATTGACCAATATTCTGGGATAGTAAATATCACCGAGCTTAGGCCAGGGCCTGGAGCTGAAAGGCTTGGACGCCTTATCAGTGGTTTATTATCAGCGGAAAATTTTCAGGCAAATCAGTGTTCTTGACACCTTGGAATGCCTACGACGTTCATTGCAGCATTTCCATCACCGAACAGCTGAGAGGCGAACAATTCATTTATCATTTGACGCCTGGAGGATGCTGTGAGGAATAAACAGCAGGGAAAACAGAAATGGCTACCTTTGACTTGATGGTTCTACAGAGAAATTTTAAAAGGAGTCACTATGTATCAGCAGTTCACACGATTTATTAAAACTGTAAGGAATGACAAGTCATCGATGCAACTGTTGTAACCATCAATTATGTAATACGTGGGCAAGATGCTTGCTAGGCAGAAACTGAAATAAGCCACTGTAAAATATTCTCCAAATTCTTTATGCGATGATATGTTAACTTCAGTATATTCTGTGTGTCCTTTCCTTTCTTTCTTTTGCTCTTCTTTTTTCCTCGTGGAGCTACTGCCCTCATAAATTCAACAATAAAGGAACCACAATTTATATTTAATTTTCTTTTCATGTCCATAGATTCTTGCAAATAACTATAATTAACCTAAAGCATGTAAGAAAACAACACATCAGTAAACAATAGCTCACACCCATCAGAAGTGCTATAAAATCCCCATCTTGAGGATGGAATCCAGTAATCTGCACATTTCCTGCGCTTGTGGATGAGAATGATCACCTGCAAGAAACTCTTCAACTTCATTATCCACCTCTATTATGCTGCATCCGGGCTTCTTTCTCATCCCTATTTCTTCAATCCTACTCCTAACTTGTTTCGCGTCTGCGTCCCTCCCAGCTTCTCTATATATATTGTAAGTAAGAACATGAGTGCCGCAGTCAGAGATCCCCATATCAAGCAATTTTTTCCATACCCTATTCCCAACACGAATATTTTTATGAATTCTACATGCATTTAGAAGAGCACCCCACACGTTAGCATCACTGGCTGCAAGTCCACCCATATTCTCCTCAATAAATTTCTCAGCCTCCTCTACCATGCCAGCTCTTGACAGAAGGTCAACAACACAAGCACAGTGCTCCCTTTTTGGGACAACTCCATAAGAGCTACTCATTTCTTCAAACAACCAAAGGCCTTGCTGAACCATCTTTGCATGAGTGCAAGCAGTGAGGACAGCCACAAATGTAGTCTCATTCGGCTTAGTCCCAGAAGCAGCCATTTGATAAAACAACTCGAGCGATTTCTCTGCATCACCATTCAAGGCAACACCACAAATCATAGCATTCCACGCACCGGCATCCTTATCAGCAATGCTCTGAAAAACAGATAAAGCAGATTCTACGCATCCACATTTCGAATACATGTCCACCAAAGCCGTTGCCAAAATTGGATTGGAGTCAAGTTGGAATCTCTTGGCATAGGAATGCACCCACAGTCCCTGTGCGAATGCACCAAGATGAGCACACGCAGTGAGGACCGAGACAAGGACGGAATCATTCGGCTTTGTACCCTCTTTTTGCATCTCTGCAAACAAAGCCAGCACTTCCTTGAAGTCACTAACTCGAGAATACGCTGCAATCATGGCACTCCACGATACAGCGTTTCTGTTAGGCATTTTCTCAAACACTTCTCTAGCCTTTTCCACATTCCCCATTTTACCATAACCGTCAACCATCGCTGTCCCCAACACCACATCTTTCTTTGTCGTTTTATCAAACAATACCCGTGCATGTTCCACCTCACGAGAAACAGAGTAGAACTCGATAAACGCACTCACGACGTAAGGGTCGTCGCGGAACCCGAACATAACGACGTGGCCGTGCACCAAACGGCCAACGACGTTCGAAGAAGGAAGAAGCGCAATGCAAGCTTTGACCAAAGGTGGGAATGTGTAGTTGTTAACGGCAACGCCGTTTTGGAGCATGGACAAGTAGCAGGACACAGCTAGGAGGGGTAAACGCGCTTGGAGGTAGCCTCTAATCATGGTGTTGCACATGAAGGTGTTACGGTGGGTGAGGTGGCGGAAGATGGAGCGAGCGTAGGGGAAAAACGACGCGTCGCTGGAGGTGGCTGCGGCGGAGAGAAGCGGCGCGAGGGCATACGGCGCGTGGTTGTAGCGGCATCGGAGAATGTGAGCGTGTAGCTGCTTGAGTTTGATTAGAGTGTTGCATTTTTGCGCCACGGTTGTGAGAAACCCCTTCTTAACGGTCATATGAACATCAATTGGAAGGGCATTTCTTCTTCAACGCACTCTGCATAATTAAACACTAAATGCATTTGCTGTTTGTTATTTTCAACAATTTTTATTTCTTCCATAATTTATTAATCGAATACATAATTCTTTGTTTAAATTAAATTTATTACAATATTTATGAATAACTTTTTTTTTTAAAATAACATATTTTAATACTTTTTTTTAAACAAGTGTAACAATAATTACAATTGATATAAATGGTTAAGAATTCACACGTCATAAACATTCCTTTTTGACAAGTGGTGTCTAAAATCTCTCTCTCTCTCTCTCTCTCTCTCTCTCTCTCTATATATATATATATATATATATATATATATATATATATATATATAACTTTCAACAAATAAATAGAAATATTAAAAAGTTTAATAAGAATTTAATAATTTAAAAGAATTCCTCCCAAAAATTAATAGGAAGATCAACTTAAAAACGCAAAACCACATTTAAAATATGTTGCTTTTTTTCAACCCTTTCATTTTGTTGCAGTGTTTCCTTTCAGGATATTTGACAAATAATTCCATGATAAGAAAAGTAACTCTTCATGCAACAAAATTATGTCTCACTATCACTTCTAAATATGTTGATTTGTTTATTGCATTTGTTCATGGACTTCCCTTTTATGAACAAGCAAACAAATCCAAACAACCTCATAAATCAACTATTTCTCATGAAGGAGTTCTATACATTTCCCAAAAATTATAATGAAACAATTCAAATGTTGTGCTTGCTCTATGATCACTTAAAAGATTTTTTTTCCTAGTTTACTTAGCTTTAAGACATAAGTCACAAACCTAATTCAAAGATTCACAATTTTTATTTTTATTAATGGTAGGAACTTACTGTGATTTTACATGAAAAAAGCCCCAAGCTCCTAAAGAACATTGCTCTCCGAATCCCACAGAAAAAATAGAACTTATTCCTTCACACACAAGCTTGAATCAACAAGATTAGTCATTACACAAAATCTGTTAGTCAATTATAGAATGCAATTGGATTCATCCATTAATTGTGAGATCCATATTAAGTTGCATTTAGGCTAATAAAGAACAATTTTTTTTAGTTTTAGACTCTCCTTCAGAAAGCAAAAGTGTTTTGTCTATTTGGAAGTCCTACAAATATCTTGAATATCAATTTTTTTTACATGATTGATGCACATTTGTCCACAATTTTAATAAATAAACAAGTCATAAAACATTTACTAGTCATGAACTAAGTTGTGTGGATTTCACAGCCTTTAAAAAAAGTCGTGAACACTTTGTATGACTATTTCGCAAATTTCTTAGAAGATAAAATTATGGAGTTATAACGATTTCAATGTATAGTTCTCGATAGATGATAGATGAAAAGTAATTTTGATAAACAACACATAACTCCCTACATGTAATTCTTGATAAATAATACTTATAAACGACGATTAAAGTATGTTATGATCTAATTTATTCTAAGACGAAATTAATGTTGATAAGTCGTAATCTGTCTTTTATAGTACAACTTTCGTAATCAATTTGGTAAAAATAATGTTAAAATTTGATTCCATCACTGTATAGAAATATTTACACCATAAAAGATAATGTTAACATTAATTGACCTTTAAAAGAGTCGAAATTAATTGATATTGGCCACAGAGTAATATCCGACCTAACTTCAGATATTACTTTATGTCACATGACAATTAAGGTTGAATTTTGTTACTGTACAAGGTTAATAAACTCTTTTGTTTTTTTTAATTAATTGTGATCCACTTTTACAATTCTATAAGACGTGAAATTAGAAAAACAGCTAATGTAATTCAATTTTTGGTATTTTATACAACATGAACTATAAAATATAAGTAAACGTTATGACAATAATAGTATTAACTTGTGATTTTGGTTTTAATAGTTATGGTTATTGGTTTTGATTGAATTGTTTTTACCACTCCTTAGAACCCCTAGTTCAGGAAAAAATAGCCCTTACTTTACTTTGATTCTTTGTGAAGTATAAAAATTATTTAGAGAGTGAACTGCGATAAATCTTTAAACAACCATAACATTTGTTTCGATTGACCGATTTGCTATTATTGTATATGGATTTGGGATAGAAAATTTTTTTCACTGGTCAATTTTTATTTTTGTTTTTTCCAAACTTTGAAAAAATATTTCACATAATTAGACTTTGAATTTTGATCTAAAATTTTTTGTGGGAGCTTCTCATGGTATTTTGGTGTTTTCAACAAATTTTCAAGTCATTTGAAATATACTCTAAGTTTTGCCCTAAAGCTTAAATGTATAACGTGTAGTGTAGAATGAACAACAAACAAGTTCAAAAAGATGACAAACAAGTTTTTGAAAATGAAAATGAAAACGAAAACTAACCTTCTTGAAGGTGGGTTTGTCAGAATAAAGTGTTGTTGTCGTTGAGTAAGAAAGGAGAACACGTCTATGAAGGAGAACATGAAAACAATCGATCAAAACAAACGAAAATTTATGACAACTTTGTGACAACTTTGTGACCCAGCGAAAGGAATGCAAGCTCCAGAAGTCAAGGAACCTCCAACGAGGTCGAGTGGATGTGGTTACAGGGGTAGACCAATGTGAAAGAGGCGTGAAGTGAAGGCTAAGCTTTGACGTAGTCGGAAATGGTTAATTGTGTTTCTTTGTATGGGTGTGACTGGCATGAACGAAGGAGCTACACACACTTAGATGAGTGACCGCGGGAAGAACGAATTTATTCTTTGTAAAAATTTATGGTTTAATATGTCAACTGTATATAAAGAAATTTGGTAAGAAATTCTTTTTCACATTTATTATTGAAAATTTTTATATCTAACTCAATTTTTTGTATTTTTAGAAAAAATTGGTATGTAATACTTAAAAAAATTGTTTTATGATTAGATTCTCTAGTCAATTAGATTTAAATATGGATTAATAGTATATGTTTAGAACCTCTATTGTATGGTGGTACGGTCATATTCATGTGAGTGATTTCGCAATCATTTTGTTATTAGCCGAATGATCACTTCGACTAGAGATCAACTTCAATTATCGTTAGCATATAGTAAAACAAAATTACTAACAATTAGGCCGAAATTAAACTCTAGTTAATTAAAAGTCCACTCCAAAAACTATAAATACAAGTTTGTAATAAAAATGTAGGTGATTTCATTCGTCACATATTAATTACTGTAATTGTCGAACACTAACTTTAACATCAAAATATCTTTGCAATTAATTTCACATAATGATAGACAAACAGTAACCCTTACTAGTTAAAGAAACAGATTTTAAAAAGTTGTTAACTGTTTCCATTTCTACAAAGCGAAACAATAATCTTCTTTCAACTATTTCCATTTTTACAAATGTGATCATCTTTGTTTTTAATACCAAAAATGGCAAATCAAATCATTTGCCACCCTTCACTTCACTGTAATAGGCAATACATGTGGTTCATGATAAGGCATTAAATTGCAGAAAACAACCGACTACCTTTTCATGGAAACCATATCTAATTACTTCAACCACACGTGAGAACCATTTCATCGTTTGTGGGGCATTCTATCTAGCAGAGCATTCCCCATAAACAATCACACTTTTAGGTTACAACATTGTTACTTGATTTTATTCTCAAAAGAATTCTTGAAGAATTAAGAAAGAAAAAAATATATTTAAATGATTATTAATCTCAACTCTTGAATAATATGTAACTATTAAGACACATAAAAATGTTGTAAATATTTCTATTTAAAATTTAAAATCATAAAAAATAATTTGAATTCAGTAATCTACTGGTCTCTTACGAAACATTTTCTAATTTTTCAGACAATCTTTAACTTCAATGTCTACGACAAATGCGTTGTAAGAATTTATATTTTACTTTCCTTGAAAGACCTGAAAATTCAGGTCTCCATTTAAGATGGAACCGTTCTTGCATAGTCTACTATTTACTTAACACAAAAACTTAAAACCAGCTTAATAAAATTCAAAACCTTTTTCCGACAACAATCTTATTCTTAAATATCAAATTCATCGTACTGGTGATTAATGAGTAGCATTTTCTCTAATCTCTTGCTCAACCTCAACTTCATTCCTGTATCAGTCTTCTGCTAAACTTATAACTTTCTTTCCAATGTTATCCCCTTTGAAGAGTCCAACAAAAGCAGAAGGGATGCTCTCCACGCCTGATGAAATGTCTTCAATTGTCTTTAACTCTCCTGTACGAAGGTAATCCAAAGTTTTTGAAAAAAAATCTTCAAAAACATTCAGAAAATCAGCAGCCAAAAATCCTCTGATGCTGATTCTCTTGTACACAATGTCCAACATGTTTGGTGAAGCTTTTCTTCCAGCACTACTATACTCAGATATCACCCCACAAACAGCCACTCTTCCAAATATCCTCATATTAGCCACAGCTGCTTCCAGCGTCTCACCCCCAACATTGTCAAAATATACGTCAATTCCATCAGGAAAATACCTATAATATAAAATATAAACCTACATCAAACACAGTCCTCCTCAAAAAGTTTATCTTGAATCACTTACCTTTTAAGAGCATAGTTTAGATCTTTTTCTTCTTTGTAGTTGAATGCTTCGTCAAAACCTAGCTCTTTTTTAAGCAATTCCACCTATGACATAATCCATTATGGATTAGGCTTTTAAGCTTGAAATCAAGTAAGCATAAACTTCAGTTACTTTACCTTTTTCTGGGTACCTGCACAACCAACAACATAGCAACCTAAAAGCTTTGCATATTGGCCTACTAAATTTCCAACTGCTCCACCAGCTGCAGAGACAAAAACCTTTTCACCCTTTAGGGGTTTACACAATTCAAAAAACCCAGCATAAGCTGACAGTCCGTTGAATCCTGCACCAGAGAATGGAATACATAAAACTTCAATTTTCAAAGCTCAGTCATAGCAATAGGATACTACCGTGATACAAAATAGTTAATCTTACAATATTTATTTATAATTATATATTATAAATTTGTTTTATTTTTAATTGTGTAAAATCTCTAAATGTAAATAAGTGACAAATGATATGGAGCAAATCATTATTACCCAGAACTCCAAGATAGTATGATAGTGGAAATTCAGAGGACTCTAATTTTCTCAAGATACTCCCTTCTTTCACCAAACTGTACTGTGCCCATGTGAATACTCCAAGCACCAAATCATCTTTCTGAAACTTAGCATTCCCAGAAGCCACAACTTTTCCAATAACAGCACCATCAATGGCCTGGAATGTGTCAAAACAGAACCGCACAAAAACTAATTCTCATGAAGCAATAGGATCAGTCATAAATAAACATTAAAATTATCTACTTCTACTGTGTCTGGTATTTGGTTTGGTGTTGAATTTTGAAGAATTACAACCTTAATTAACAATATTTTAGGTAAATGTTTATGGCATATATAACTTTAAAATGAATTTTATAAACCCAATCCAATCACAGACTGTATCAAAATNACACGTCTATGAAGGAGAACATGAAAACAATCGATCAAAACAAACGAAAATTTATGACAACTTTGTGACAACTTTGTGACCCAGCGAAAGGAATGCAAGCTCCAGAAGTCAAGGAACCTCCAACGAGGTCGAGTGGATGTGGTTACAGGGGTAGACCAATGTGAAAGAGGCGTGAAGTGAAGGCTAAGCTTTGACGTAGTCGGAAATGGTTAATTGTGTTTCTTTGTATGGGTGTGACTGGCATGAACGAAGGAGCTACACACACTTAGATGAGTGACCGCGGGAAGAACGAATTTATTCTTTGTAAAAATTTATGGTTTAATATGTCAACTGTATATAAAGAAATTTGGTAAGAAATTCTTTTTCACATTTATTATTGAAAATTTTTATATCTAACTCAATTTTTTGTATTTTTAGAAAAAATTGGTATGTAATACTTAAAAAAATTGTTTTATGATTAGATTCTCTAGTCAATTAGATTTAAATATGGATTAATAGTATATGTTTAGAACCTCTATTGTATGGTGGTACGGTCATATTCATGTGAGTGATTTCGCAATCATTTTGTTATTAGCCGAATGATCACTTCGACTAGAGATCAACTTCAATTATCGTTAGCATATAGTAAAACAAAATTACTAACAATTAGGCCGAAATTAAACTCTAGTTAATTAAAAGTCCACTCCAAAAACTATAAATACAAGTTTGTAATAAAAATGTAGGTGATTTCATTCGTCACATATTAATTACTGTAATTGTCGAACACTAACTTTAACATCAAAATATCTTTGCAATTAATTTCACATAATGATAGACAAACAGTAACCCTTACTAGTTAAAGAAACAGATTTTAAAAAGTTGTTAACTGTTTCCATTTCTACAAAGCGAAACAATAATCTTCTTTCAACTATTTCCATTTTTACAAATGTGATCATCTTTGTTTTTAATACCAAAAATGGCAAATCAAATCATTTGCCACCCTTCACTTCACTGTAATAGGCAATACATGTGGTTCATGATAAGGCATTAAATTGCAGAAAACAACCGACTACCTTTTCATGGAAACCATATCTAATTACTTCAACCACACGTGAGAACCATTTCATCGTTTGTGGGGCATTCTATCTAGCAGAGCATTCCCCATAAACAATCACACTTTTAGGTTACAACATTGTTACTTGATTTTATTCTCAAAAGAATTCTTGAAGAATTAAGAAAGAAAAAAATATATTTAAATGATTATTAATCTCAACTCTTGAATAATATGTAACTATTAAGACACATAAAAATGTTGTAAATATTTCTATTTAAAATTTAAAATCATAAAAAATAATTTGAATTCAGTAATCTACTGGTCTCTTACGAAACATTTTCTAATTTTTCAGACAATCTTTAACTTCAATGTCTACGACAAATGCGTTGTAAGAATTTATATTTTACTTTCCTTGAAAGACCTGAAAATTCAGGTCTCCATTTAAGATGGAACCGTTCTTGCATAGTCTACTATTTACTTAACACAAAAACTTAAAACCAGCTTAATAAAATTCAAAACCTTTTTCCGACAACAATCTTATTCTTAAATATCAAATTCATCGTACTGGTGATTAATGAGTAGCATTTTCTCTAATCTCTTGCTCAACCTCAACTTCATTCCTGTATCAGTCTTCTGCTAAACTTATAACTTTCTTTCCAATGTTATCCCCTTTGAAGAGTCCAACAAAAGCAGAAGGGATGCTCTCCACGCCTGATGAAATGTCTTCAATTGTCTTTAACTCTCCTGTACGAAGGTAATCCAAAGTTTTTGAAAAAAAATCTTCAAAAACATTCAGAAAATCAGCAGCCAAAAATCCTCTGATGCTGATTCTCTTGTACACAATGTCCAACATGTTTGGTGAAGCTTTTCTTCCAGCACTACTATACTCAGATATCACCCCACAAACAGCCACTCTTCCAAATATCCTCATATTAGCCACAGCTGCTTCCAGCGTCTCACCCCCAACATTGTCAAAATATACGTCAATTCCATCAGGAAAATACCTATAATATAAAATATAAACCTACATCAAACACAGTCCTCCTCAAAAAGTTTATCTTGAATCACTTACCTTTTAAGAGCATAGTTTAGATCTTTTTCTTCTTTGTAGTTGAATGCTTCGTCAAAACCTAGCTCTTATTTAAGCAATTCCACCTATGACATAATCCATTATGGATTAGGCTTTTAAGCTTGAAATCAAGTAAGCATAAACTTCAGTTACTTTACCTTTTTCTGGGTACCTGCACAACCAACAACATAGCAACCTAAAAGCTTTGCATATTGGCCTACTAAATTTCCAACTGCTCCACCAGCTGCAGAGACAAAAACCTTTTCACCCTTTAGGGGTTTACACAATTCAAAAAACCCAGCATAAGCTGACAGTCCGTTGAATCCTGCACCAGAGAATGGAATACATAAAACTTCAATTTTCAAAGCTCAGTCATAGCAATAGGATACTACCGTGATACAAAATAGTTAATCTTACAATATTTATTTATAATTATATATTATAAATTTGTTTTATTTTTAATTGTGTAAAATCTCTAAATGTAAATAAGTGACAAATGATATGGAGCAAATCATTATTACCCAGAACTCCAAGATAGTATGATAGTGGAAATTCAGAGGACTCTAATTTTCTCAAGATACTCCCTTCTTTCACCAAACTGTACTGTGCCCATGTGAATACTCCAAGCACCAAATCATCTTTCTGAAACTTAGCATTCCCAGAAGCCACAACTTTTCCAATAACAGCACCATCAATGGCCTGGAATGTGTCAAAACAGAACCGCACAAAAACTAATTCTCATGAAGCAATAGGATCAGTCATAAATAAACATTAAAATTATCTACTTCTACTGTGTCTGGTATTTGGTTTGGTGTTGAATTTTGAAGAATTACAACCTTAATTAACAATATTTTAGGTAAATGTTTATGGCATATATAACTTTAAAATGAATTTTATAAACCCAATCCAATCACAGACTGTATCAAAATTATTGAGTAACCAAAATAATTAACGTTACCTCGCCTGGATTTATGGGTGCTGCAAAGCTTGAAGTACCCTGGGAAGAACTAGAAAGTTTCATGCGGTTAATCTGGTACGGGTCGATAGAAATGTAGAGATTCTTGACTATGATATCATCAGAACCTGGTGCAACGGACAGAGCTATTGTCCCAGTTTTAAGCTCAAAGTTGGCTTCTTTGGGTGCATCTTCAAAGTGATGCTTTATCACTATGTATTTATTCTTCACTTCCATTTTTTCAGCCTTTTTTCTATTGTTGCTGTATTTTTTTGTATACTCTTTAGACCAACTTTACAGATCGACGAGGCATGGCAAGAACACAGGCAAACGTCTCTTTATAACAGACTTTGGATTTTTTTTTTCTTTTATTAATTAAGTTTGGATTTAGTTATGTATGGTACAACCTATCATTGAGCCTATTCATTAAGTTTGGATTTAGCCTAAAATGAGTTTGACTATATTCAACTCATTGAATTCAGTTTCAACAATGTTGTTGTGAATGAGTCTAATTTAGGTATGACTCAATCTAACCTATCTAAGTCTAGTTTTTAGCTTGACTTGTGCTTAATTCAGGCTGATCCAATGTTGCATAATCCAACTTGACCACCCAATGTGAACTTCATCCTAACTCAACATGACAAGTAACCATTCTTACTTGACTTGGCTAAATTTGAACCCAATTGAACTAGACCTAATTTAGGTTTTTCCTAACACAATTCAACCTTGGTCCCCCAACATGTCCCAACTTAGGTCTCACCTAATTCAGATGAATGTGAGTTTGCTCAAATTAACTTGACATGGACATAGATTGATTCAATCTTGGACCTAGGCAAATCAACTTAATGTGAACCAGAATTAACTCAAACTTACTTAGGCTTAAGTTGACAAATATTGAAATACACTGAGCCCAATTAACGTAACATAAACTTAAGTTGACTTGACTCGACATTGATCTTGCCCAACTAAGCCTGACTTAAGTCTAACTCGTTTTGGCTTATCTTTAGGCCTCATTGAATTGCTTAACTAGGTCTTAGCCTGATTTGAGCTACTACGAGTTCACCTCAACTTGATGTAAACCTAGCTTACTCATTTTGATATAGGCTAAGGCCAACTTAGCTTAATGTGAACATGGGTTGAATTACCTAGATCGTTACCTGACTCATCTTAGTGTGGATTGAGGCTCACTTAAACCAAGACAAACTCATATTGTCTTTCTTAACCTAGCCTAACTTGGATCAAGCCTATTTCAGCTTAACTTAGCCTCATTGACTTGGTATAACTTGTTCTTAACCATATTCATCCTAACATGACCTGAGTTGACTCTACCTAAATTTGGCATAGGTCAATTTAATATGATATGAGGCCATGCCAATTGTGCCTTAAGTGGACCTAAATGAGTTAACTAGGTTTGGGCTGACTCAACTTAACGCGAACCATAATCGACTTGGCCTAATATGGACTTGAATCAACCTACGCTCCATCCACTTGGCTTGAATTGGGCTCAGCTCAACTCGATTTGATGTGGGGTGACCTTGATTTGACTTAACATGAGTTTGAGTTAAGTCAATCTAACTTGGACTTGACATGACTTAGTCTGAGTTGGGCTAGCCTGATCCAACTTGACATGGTTTGACTTACCTAAATTAACTTGGACCCAGTCTAACCAAAATTTACCTAGGTTTGCTCTAATCCATTTTGGCTTAGGTTTGACTTACTTGATGTTAGGTTCAACCTAGGCCAACCTAACTTAAGTCTGACGTAAGAAATTTTCATAATCTAATTTAATTTTGGTATGTCTTGTCCAAAATCTGACTCGATTCAATCTTCCATTATTTGAACTAAATTGTTCTCTAATTTACAATAGTTATATCTAACTCAACCTAATCTTCTCTTACTTGAGTGCAACCCAACCTATCATTTCATACCTTAAACCAATTTATCTAACCTATCATTTCATAACTTTCTAATTTAAACTCACTTTTAATCTTAAATTTTCAAAATCTAAAAAATTATAGAATATATATAATTCAAATCTAAGATTTATAGTCAAATTTAAATTTGAAATACTTCCATTAAAATAAACTTAAAAAGTAATATAAATTTAAATAATTATAAAATAAATTTGAAAATTTGAAAGCTATACATAAAAGTAATTTATGTATAAGGAATTTATTCATTGATATTTAGCTGGATAATGGACATTAAATATAAATTCATTGATTTTAAAAATATTCGTTTATAACTGGAGAGAATATCAAGTGTTAAACTATCCCATCAACTTGCTGAACTACCCTTTCTAATTAATTGAAGTAAAATCCAAAACTAACAATGAACTAAATTGTTAGGTAGGAATCTGGCCTGCAATAAACAAACAAAGGAGGCGGCTTGCTTATAGACAAAATTGGAATCATATGCCAACATCAAATCTTTAAGCATTCCAGATTCTTTCTATTCCTAAAATGCTATTAAAATTCTAAAATTCTAGATAATCTCGGTCTCATACACATTCACACCTCATCCATATACATAGACAAGTATTTAGGTCATTGAAATTATCAACTAGGTTGTCATGTGCACATACAAAAAACATAAAAGTAGTAAATATGTGAAGATCTCAATGTCTATACATTTCATTAATTGCATATTTATTGTCTCATATAATGAGATATGGTTATGATTATTTTTTATGCTAAACTACGATTAATGAACCAGAGAATGAGTTATAAGTTACAGTTAAAAACCGTAGGCTATAACATATATATAATTATTAGTGTAAGTAAGAGATTTGAAACCAATTATTTTAAATATTAAGTTTCGGTTCAACAATAAAAATAAACAAAGAATGAGTTCTTAGTTTCTCCATTATTATTTTTTTCCATTATTTTGAGTCTTTTCTTCCATTCACTGTATTGTTCTTCTTTATTGTCATCAACATTTATTTTCTTTGTTATATTTCCACCTCCATACAAAAAAATAATAATTACGAGATCTATCATTTTTGTCTCAACACTGAGAACCCAGCTTACATAGCAAAAATTCATATTTGAAAATTTTCAACCTAACCAAAAATTCCAAAATCAGGACAACCAGTGCTTCAATTTATGTTATTTTATTTGTAGAGAAAGTTTGATCTCAGTTTTTGTTAGCTTATTTACATTATGCTTTACAATATTAGCCAAAAGCATCTTGATGATATAGTACTTATAAGCTAGATCTTAAATAGCTTATCAAATAACTAAACTTTTCCTAATTGCTCAATGAAAACTGTAATTCGTTCATGCATGGTGTATCATCCACCATCAGGATAATATATAATGTTATTCAAGGTTCGACCTCTACTTGTGTATTTTAAGGATTTTAATAGAATTCTCATAAAGATAGTCGAATTTATTATGTTTATTGTTCTCAGTTTTTTCGCCTTTCTTGTAGCTGGCTTCTTGTTGGCTCACTAAATAGTGTTCTTTTACTAAAATTTATGAGAGAAAATTAACTGGTATTTATTATAAAAATGTCTTTAATTAATTTATTATGACAAGTGAATTTCACCTATTATAATAAATTGTCATAATTTTTTTTCTACTAATAATTATTGACAGGGAAGATCCAATAAGTTTAGTAACATTATTTCCCAAGTATTCACTTAAACAAGATTTGATATTTTAATTTCCTTACCTTCTTTCAGCATTTTGTCCATAGTCCAGAAACATAATAATTGCTCATTTCTTTGAACTTTTTTAAGTGTTTTTTTATGAAGACATGTTTTATAAAAAAATTATAATCGTTTTGTAAAAATATAAAACTAAGTGTTTCCAAAGCCAGAGAGAGTATTTTTCAAAGCTTAAACAGCCAGNACTGAGCCCAATTAACGTAACATAAACTTAAGTTGACTTGACTCGACATTGATCTTGCCCAACTAAGCCTGACTTAAGTCTAACTCGTTTTGGCTTATCTTTAGGCCTCATTGAATTGCTTAACTAGGTCTTAGCCTGATTTGAGCTACTACGAGTTCACCTCAACTTGATGTAAACCTAGCTTACTCATTTTGATATAGGCTAAGGCCAACTTAGCTTAATGTGAACATGGGTTGAATTACCTAGATCGTTACCTGACTCATCTTAGTGTGGATTGAGGCTCACTTAAACCAAGACAAACTCATATTGTCTTTCTTAACCTAGCCTAACTTGGATCAAGCCTATTTCAGCTTAACTTAGCCTCATTGACTTGGTATAACTTGTTCTTAACCATATTCATCCTAACATGACCTGAGTTGACTCTACCTAAATTTGGCATAGGTCAATTTAATATGATATGAGGCCATGCCAATTGTGACTTAAGTGGACCTAAATGAGTTAACTAGGTTTGGGCTGACTCAACTTAACGCGAACCATAATCGACTTGGCCTAATATGGACTTGAATCAACCTACGCTCCATCCACTTGGCTTGAATTGGGCTCAACTCAACTCGATTTGATGTGGGGTGACCTTGATTTGACTTAACATGAGTTTGAGTTAAGTCAATCTAACTTGGACTTGACATGACTTAGTCTGAGTTGGGCTAGCCTGATCCAACTTGACATGGTTTGACTTACCTAAATTAACTTGGACCCAGTCTAACCAAAATTTACATAGGTTTGCTCTAATCCATTTTGGCTTAGGTTTGACTTACTTGATGTTAGGTTCAACCTAGGCCAACCTAACTTAAGTCTGACGAAAGAAATTTTCATAATCTAATTTAATTTTGGTATGTCTTGTCCAAAATCTGACTCGATTCAATCTTCCATTATTTGAACTAAATTGTTCTCTAATTTACAATAGTTATATCTAACTCAACCTAATCTTCTCTTACTTGAGTGCAACCCAACCTATCATTTCATACCTTAAACCAATTTATCTAACCTATCATTTCATAACTTTCTAATTTAAACTCACTTTTAATCTTAAATTTTCAAAATCTAAAAAATTATAGAATATATATAATTCAAATCTAAGATTTATAGTCAAATTTAAATTTGAAATACTTCCATTAAAATAAACTTAAAAAGTAATATAAATTTAAATAATTATAAAATAAATTTAAAAATTTGAAAGCTATACATAAAAGTAATTTATGTATAAGGAATTTATTCATTGATATTTAGCTGGATAATGGACATTAAATATAAATTCATTGATTTTAAAAATATTCGTTTATAACTGGAGAGAATATCAAGTGTTAAACTATCCCATCAACTTGCTGAACTACCCTTTCTAATTAATTGAAGTAAAATCCAAAACTAACAATGAACTAAATTGTTAGGTAGGAAT